GAACGCGCGACATCACCTAATTTGAGTCCAGGTGACGAATGATACTCACGCTCAAAATGGACGTCAGTGTCTTGTATAATATAGCCAGTAGACACGTGATGGGGCGGTATTTGCTCAAGTCTGTGGTATCTTGTTCTTTAGGAACCAAATGAATGAACCCAGTAGTGAAGAGACTCGGGAACGACTTCTGGTCGAGAGCCTCTTGAAACTGTCGGGCTAGCACAGCGTGACACACCGTGAACCCCTTTAGCCAGTAGCGATGCAGCCCAGCCCCGGACTTTTCCAGATCGGGGCCCTATGGACCGCCTCATCTACGACGTCGGGCGTTATGATGACGGGGTTCATGGGCGTAACATTTACACACTGGCTCGCCACAACTTCCATCCAAGTGCCCTCGCTGTGCTTTACGGGCTTTGACCACAGACCGCGAAAGAATGCGACAGTGTCGGCCTGATTCAGTGTCGTCTATGCGCTCCGTCAATTTTTGCGTAATAACAGGCTGGGACAAACCGACATTTGTCCCAGCAAACGCCATCCTGACGATGCGCATAATTCTTGGCTTGTTATTGCCCGACCTGAAGCATGTCAGTCTATCGAGGTATTCCTCCGTGATACGTTCCTCAATTCTTATCTGGAGAATAAGCTGGGATGCCACTACTTTGTGTAGCAGCACGTCCAGCGGTGGGGAGCTTGACGCCAATAATGCGTGCGTGCCAGTGCAGGGGCAAAATGAATTGTGTCCGATTCGCAAAGGTCCCGGCTGGCTTCTAGATAGGTCTAGCATTGGGTATAGTCCTCAAGATAGTCCGATTCCGCTTGTTTAGAAGTAAGCGGGGAAGTCGTGATTGATCCTCGAGAGGCGTATTGCGCGTTTCTTTAATCGCCTCTTCCAGTATGCTCCTCACTCTTGTACCGTTGTCTCTTGATGAGTCAACCGCAAAGAGATCTACGGGGGCATCTACATGTGCAGGTTGCTCTGTTACTTGTAGAGCCGCATATTCTGTAGTAATATTTTTATTCGTCGAGGGAACTGCCTCACGTCGTAGTTATTTGAATTCGGCGTCATCAAATATTTTTGAGCGTATGATATACCGATCTCGGTCTTCCAGGTTTTGCTCGGTGACGGTAATAGATGGCTCAGCAAAAAAGCGATGCATCCTAGCCTGGTACGCAAAACCTCCAACTTCTCTCCCCTTCGCCCTAATATACGCCTGCAATGCGTTCTTATTCATTGATGAATTATCCATTTCAAGCTATATGCACAAGCGAGCCTTTGCACCCTCAATTTTGCAGAGGCACGGCGCTAACACCTCTTGGCAAGGCTCTGACTGACTACGCGGACGTAGCAGTTTTTTCACATAACTGTTACGTCAGCGGGCGATGGGGTCTACATCTGCCTACACCATTTTTTTCTCAGCTAAAAGCTGGTAAATAAATGGCGATTACGGGTTGAAACCAAGTAACCGTCATTGTAATAGGGGATAAGCTAGTTTTCATAGACATTTCAGTCATCCTGCATGAATGTTCGAACGATGTGACATACCTATTTTTAAGATTGCTGCTTTTTGTATATTAATGTATGAGTTCGGTGATATGTCTAGCATTTTCAAACTATGATTTAAGTGCTTCGGGATTATTCCGGTTTTAGAAAGTACTATGTGTATTATAAAAACTATTTTAATCTTCCACATTTTTGTTATTTCTTCTTTAGTTCTGTGTATTTATTTATTTATTCGGTTATAGTTTTAATTAAATTATGTATATTAGGTACAGCTATATCAATTATATTATATAGGTACTGCTTTATTTATTTTATTTTAACGTAATATCTGGTCTATTATATGGATGGTTTTGTCAGAATAGCACGGTCGTAGTACATTTTATAATTTGTATTTTCAAGAACGGCCGTTGGAACTTGGAAGTATTTGCGAATGTGTGTCTGGGGTGAGTTTGTGTTTGATTGCTATAGTTCATAAAAGATAGCTTGATCTCTGCGACAGCTGTCAGTAAAATCACGCCTATGAAGTCCTGAATTTCTTAGTAGTACATACAGTACCTGTCAATGTCATACTTTATGGGCACGCCGACCTAATTAGTGCATGCCCATAAAGTATGACATTGACAGGTACTGTATGTACTACTAAGAAATTCAGGACTTCATAGGTGTGATTTTTACTGACAGCTGTCGCAGAGATCAAGCTATCTTTTATGAACCATAATGTTTGTTGTATTATATTTACTATCTGGTTGTGTCTGTTTGTGTAATCTGTCTCCTTGAGTGTTGGGCAAGCTCCTGTAATATTCTGAATGGTTTCGAGCTGTTTGTGACATTTTCGACATTTATCATCTGTTATTCTAGGTTCTTTAATTATATATTTTGATATTTTTAGTATTCATGACTTGAACCCGTATTGCTATCATGAAGTCTTCTGTTTCATGGAATAAGTAAGCACGCACAAGCCACCTATTCGATGCCTCCGTATCTACCCATGCTTGATCCAAGTCATAAGAATGTCTGCCATGCAAAACTTTCTTTTTTGCATTTTACTAATTTCAGGTCTTCGCAGTCTATATGCTGGTCATTTAATTCCGTTATATGGGGCTTTTCTGCAAGGTTTAGTGGTGTGAGGTTCACGTCTATACCAACAATAGCATTGTATAAATTACTGGTAGTCTATGAAAGAAATATCTATGAAAGAAAAGATCTAGAAAAGAGCTGCTTAGTCCAGAGAGCTTGGATGTCTATAAGAACCCTTCCACCATGATTTCTGCCTATTGAAATTACTTGGGATGTAAATGATTAAATTCCGTTATTTTCTATTGAAATTCTTTCTACTGCAGACTTGGAATGTAAATGATTAAATTTTGTTAGTAGGGTACGTGTTTTTATTTCGAGGCTTACTATGTCTGTTTCTGTCCATTTTATTATACCAAATGAATATGTTAATATCGGAATCGCGTAAGTATTAGGTACTTGCTTTAATGAGGCTTTTTGATGTTAGTTGGGTTTTACAGATTCGGCTTACTCTATATCTTATCTATTTTTGTAGTGTGTTAATATTGCGTTTTTTAAGCTAGCGTGGTCTAACAGCTTGGATTGGTGATATCCTAAGTACTTATTTACCTCACCTGACTCCGTGGACAAAATAATGCCTTCTTCTGGTAAAGTGTAGTGTCCTTGTTCTATTTTTCCCCTCTTTATATTTAAGATTTTACATTTATCTAATCGAAACTGCATATTTATGTCGTTACTGAATTTACTTGTAATATCTAATGAGATTTTCATGTATTATTATTAATGCTGCTGTGTTTTGAGAAGCGGATACCTCTTTCAATGTCAACAAGATATTCCATCTTAGTCCAAATGGATGACGCCCGTATTTTTATTTTTAATCAAAGAGAGGAAGATTTATGAGTCATAGCTATAACCATTAGACCATGACGGGACTTGGACAATTGGATAGTATGTCATAGTAAGAAATTTTTTTCGTAATTTCTTAGTTTTGACCAAGTACTAGGTAAGTATGAAACAAAAGTAACAATCGATAAGATGATTTTAGTTCACTTTACTTCGTTCTCTGACTTTTACGCTCATATTTTGACAATCATTTTTGCATCTACACGCTAATGTCAGGTGTAGCGTGAAGCGCGTAGCGGCATCGTAGTTACATAAAACCTTTGCTATCTCTATCATTTTTTTTCTTTAAATTTGAAGTGTGTATTTGAATATAATAAGAACGAGCTGTACTCATTAGGAAAATATTTCATATTTTTTTTAAATAAGGGTGATAAACTAGCACAGAGTCCACGTGAAGTAAATGTATGCTGTAGCCTATAGATATTTACTCTTGTATAAGATCTAAATGCTGATGTGTTTTCACCTCTGAGGACAGTTTAAAGTAATAAGGGTCTCCGGTTCTCTACACTCACCATTAGAAAGCCGTAAGAAATAAGTATATATCTTGAACCCTTTAAAAATTTAGTATCTATTAAATTACGATTGAGAACCTTACCTAGGACCCTAGGAAGTTAAAGATATTGGATATAGCTAATAAAAATTACAAAATTACTGTTTCAATGATATACAATCTATTATAAATAATTCAGAACTCATTAAAAAGTAATTCTTAATAGTTTTACCAAATATGTAGAGAATTTGTCTGAATATAAACTATAGGCCTCCCTCTTAGATTACCTCATTCGTAATTTAGTCATAGTAGCCAAAATTGGCAGGCGCATGCAGGCTCGGCATTTTTGTTTTGTTATTAAAAAGATGCTCCTGCTCATATCCTCTTTCAGTTTCCCTTTGTCACCCCACACGATAACTACATGATGAAGAGTAGTGGATGATATTCTTACCCCGCCACTGCACTACGATAGTGGTCAGTTATTTCGTAATGTAAGTATTAAGCGATATTGTTTTTTATTTAATTTTGACATTGCCAAGAGCAGCTTTATATAAATTAATAGAATTCGTTACATTAAAAAAAAACTACTGAAAGGTACCTAACTGATAACTTTAGCGCCATCTAGTGTCGAATAGTGTAAGCTTAGACAAGCTACATTGTAAAGCATAGTTTATTTTACAAGGTCACATGTAGGTAACCATAACCAACTGACAAGTAAATATTTCAACCAATGTATTAATAATATTAATTTAATTGTGAATAAAATTAATAATTACTTTAATTGTAATATGTGACTTCAACGACATAAATTATTTTGAATGAATTAATAAAGATAATAATTGAATGGTCATACCTGAAGACAAAAATGTAATAAACGCATTTTGCATGAAGATGACATAATACGGTTCAAAAAGTGGCAAACACGTCAGCGTCAGTATCAGTCAGTCAGTATTGTGAAATGTCAAAATTTGTTGTGTCATGTCATCAATGTAATATTTTGTTCCTGGACATTTATAAAATTGTGTAAAATATAGTACAAACGAAAACAATAGTTTATAACTGCGCAGGAAATAAAATATAGCTGTATTAACGATGCATTGGTACGGAGGAAGCATCGCGGAGGCTGTTACATTATCTAAACAAAGAAATGCAATTTTTGTCGTATTTGTTGAAGGTAAGAAATTTTAATAAATATCCTATTATATAAACATGTAATTTGGATGGTATATAAACTTGAATAAACAGGTTATTACTATAGTGATTCTTAAATTATAAATAAAATAAATATACATAATAACATATATTCTTCAAAGGTTTGAGTAGAGGGATAACGTAACAAAGTGAGGCTATTATTGTAGGCAATATTTACTGAGTGTTTTTTTAGTATAATTGGTTGGTATAACTATAGCCATATACTTAGATATGTAATATTCTTCAAATAAACCATAATCAAGGTCTATAAAATATAGTATTATATAGTTATGCTAAAGTAAATAAATAAAAGAGCCATGATAGCTCAGGCGCTACGCGTTTGCCGTAAATTTAACTGTACACGAGCAACCCTGTTTTTTTTTCCTGTGGGCACCAATGAAATTGTTAAATACAATTTCAAGTGTTGATTTACCATAAATGCTCAGTAAGACGGTAATAGAACATTATGAGAAAACATGCATATCTGAAAGTATAAGCAATATACACGGTAAAACTTCAGTTACAGTATAGTAGAGTTAATTGCTCTATAATCTCCTCTAGAAATGAGAGGAGGCTTGTGCTCAGCAATGGGACATTATATAGCCTCATAATCTTATCTGTTGATTCTTTTCCTAAGTTGTTACAGTAATGTTGTTCCATAGGTTATGGTATGGTTCCATAATATTGTTTTTTTTATTTAGTTAGTATTTATTGTTATCAGTAAATTAGAGCTGTTGTTATTTTATTAGTAATTGTTAAATATTTAAGTCTGTTTTATTTATGTAATGTGTTAATTACATAATAAATATTTGATCATAATAAAATAAATTGTGTCAAAATTATACTGATTATTTTAGTATTTATTAAACCAATAAATTTGTTGTTTCTAAAATTTTTTTATTTATATTAATTCATTAAATTAATTACTTAAAAAGTGTAATATGTATAATATATCCTTTTGACCAGGTGACAATGAGCAGTCTGCAGAAATGTCTGCAACAATTGATGATAGTGCAGTGGTTAAAAGGTTGTCAGATCCTCAAAATTTCCTTGCAATCAAATTAAAGAGTGGATCAATTAATTATACACATTTTGCACAAATCTGTATCCTTTTAAAACTTGAAACAACTATATATTGAAAAGTTTTTGAGTAAATAATGATAATAACCATCTAATGCTAGATGTGTTTGTTTTTAAATGGATCTCTTATTGGAAAAAAAAGCTGTAAAAAATCCATCATCCCATTTGGTCTAAAAGGTAAATCGTAAGAGGTTTTTGAGGCCTTCCATCTTAGTTCTCAGGTGTGACAAAGCATCTGCATTTTAATTCTTAATTGAGGATAAATGTAGTCTGTGTGCTAGTTTGTCATCTTTATTCTATAAAAAAAGAGGTAACTATAGGTAATGCTAGAAAAACCTTAATATGACTTCTATTGATGGCAGTGAGGATATTTGGGACTTTAAAATACTTAGATGTCACAGCCAGCAGTGACAGAGGCGAGATGTCTTTAATCTGCAAATATCTAGCTATGAACTTATTATGTGGTTGATGAAGAGGAAACAAACTTAAAACTATTAATTGTGTTACAGATGTAAGACATCTCTAGGCTGCAATTGTTAACATGTTTGCCAAATGTGATGATTAAAGCATATCTTGCCTATGGATGCTAGCTCAATAATCGATCAAGTGTCGATCTATGCCATTTATTAACTGTGGTTACAATCAGTATCTGTCTATCAGCTATAGCCGATAAACAGATACTGATTGATAAAACGTTGTTCAATTATTGATCCACGTCGATCGATAATTAATCGATGAGGTTGCAGCCTCATCATCGATGTCTCTCAACATGTACTCAAAAGAAAATGCATTATAAGTGACCAGTACGCTCTTTGTATTGTATTTTTATTACAGAGATGTAAGTGCAGGTGTTGGCGGGTGACAATAGGGAGTAGTCGGTGGTTATACCATCCATCAATGCCATGGATTAACTTGTGTGGTAGAGATCGATCGATTGACATCGACTGATCCATTCCACCATTGATCGATCGGTGTGGTAGGAACTATCCATCGACGTATGGTATGGTAGAGCCACTCTGTAGCTATATTATGGTTGTTGCATGAATGGGTCGGCTCGGCCGGGATAGGCTCACATTCTCACACAATACCAGGGTGAAATGGCAGCTCAATGCTGCTGTGTTTCAAATAGTGAATACAGAGAACCGGGGAACCTTTTCACTTCCTTTGCGAGAAGCCCAAGTAGCAATTTACATTTACAAGCAGATTAAGTAGAAGAAATATTAATGTAATAAATATTTCTTATTTTACCTATTACAAGTATAAAATGTGTAAACAACCACAATAGTTCGCCAGTGATGATCTAGGGAATCAAGACCTTTAAGTGCTAGCCATATAAGAAGTCTCAGAATTGCCTTTTTAGAGAACTAATCATGGAAAATTTCAGTGTTGTTAATTCTGCAAAATAAAATACTCTCTTCTTCAAATAATCAAACCAGTCTTTATTTTCAACAAAAATATTTGGTTACCTAATTTTTACCTAAATTTTTATGGTAGAGCTCTATTTAATAAAATATGTTGGATTTTGTAACAATAAAAAAATAACACAAATGAAATAGTTAACTCATTAATACAGATCAATTTGTTCCTGTTCCATCTCTCTTTTTTATAAGTAGGAATGGAACACCACTGGAAGTTGTCTGTGCAGGAGTTGAGGCACAAAACCTGGCGACAAGGATAGATAGGATATTAGAAGAACACAGTAAGTAAAAAACCAAAGTATCCGTGTACATAATGTTTTATTTCAAATAACGATTTAAGTGTGTTTAATGTATGGTAAAATTTCATTTTGTATGTTTTTTTGAATGTTCATAATCTCTTTATATCCATATAAATATTTTATTGCTGTAACTCTTTAAATATCTATAGATCACAACCATTCAAAGGTGCTTGCCACACTTGACAGATAGGGTGGTGGTTCTCAGGTGGGAAGGGGATCAGCAAGTCCACTCAGTTACCTCGGGCCAGCCAAGTTGGTTCCTCTTTTTACCGAGAATGACCAAGTCACATCTATATACAGTATTTTAAGCTTTCTTGGAATGATTATTGGAATATTAGTAAATTTCGTAGGATTACTAGTATTATTAGGCTTGGAAAAAATTATTTATTACCTCTATTGTTTATGAGAAATTTCCATTGTGGATGTGACATTATTTAACTTAAATGAAAATTTAGCTTCTACAATATGAGTTGCAATAAAAACTGAATGTTACAAAGTAGAAGAACAATTGAAATGCGGCAGTAGCTGCACTGCTTCTAGATGGTAGATTTAGATATTTGTACCTACTTCTCTATTACCTGTAGTTATAACATAGTTATTTCCATACTGCAGATAATCAATTTTATCTCGTACATTATAGTTGTTAAACTTGTACATATATATTAATTTTATTTTTCTAGATAAAGAGAAACAACGGACTGTACAACCATCCACATCCAGCCAGAGTTTGAAAGAGCAAACGGTCAATCTTCTGCAAGCTGAAGCTGCTGTTAGCAATAAGGAAGCTGCAGCAACACCATCAGTAGATAAAAAGCCTCCCGCTGATGTTGAAACAGGTATGAATTATAGCTTCAGATTCAATTCATCATCGTTTTTTTTCTTTTGTATAATAGGCGCTTACTGCTATCTTTCATAGTCATCATTCAAAATTATGTTAAAAAAGAAAAGACTGACATTACTTTTTTTACCGTATATTAATAATTGTTAATATATTTTACAGTTATTTATCAATTTTTTACAGTTCATGTTTTATACATGTGCGTATAAAACATGAACTATACGATATAAACACATCAACAGAATCTAGGGATACCTTAATCCTAAATTATTTACGATGTTGTAGTTTAAAATATTTTAAGTTTCCATAAAAAAAAATTATATACAGATTGAAACCTCTTTTATTCTATTTTCAAAGTTTAAAAATGTTAATAAAAAAAAACACAAAAGAAAAACAAAACAGGCGGCATAATAGTTAATAATTCGTTATGTTAAGGAAATTTAAAATTGTTCTATTGATATTTATTAATGAAAAGGGATTAGATTGCTTTTTTTTAAATTTAACGTGCTGTGTGAGCTTTAAGAGTCATGTCACGTCGTCATTTGAGTCGAGATGAAGTGTTACGAGCCATGGGCATATTAAAAAATGGTGCTCTTCAACGCGTCGTTGTTGATGCACACCAGCCAAAACGTGATATCAAGGTTGTGGTCACGTTATCGCAGTATTGGGGATGTGGCTGAACGGCGCGTGGATACATATCAGTAACGCAGACTGGATCGATTTCTTCAAATGATCGCCAGAAGACAACCCAATATCACAGCGATGCAACTACTACAAAGGTTCCAGGAGGACCACCAGCTGCTGGTAAGCAACCGAACCGTGCAAAGGAGGTTGCATGAAGTTGATCTTTAAGCCCGAAGACCGCTACGTGTTCCAGGATTGCGTCGTGGCAATCGCTGTCGGCGGCTTTCGTGGACTCGAGAGCATTTACCATGGAGTGACGAACAATGGTCTTTGGTGCTGTTGACCATTGAGTCTCGGTTTGGGTTTCATCCGGACTCACGAAAAACACGCGTTTGAAGAAATCCAGGGAGAGTAAGCTGTCTACGGTACCCTCAGGAGGTCCAATTATACCAAGGCGGGACAATCATAGTGTGGGCAGGAATTCGTCTTGGCGGACGAACTCAGCTCGTTTGGATCCAAGGCAGCATGACTGCACAATTGTATATAACGAGGTAGTAGAGCCTGTTATTGTCCCACACAGAATCCGAATGGGCCAGGAATTTTTACTCATGCACGATAATGCTCCTTCACATACGGCGCGGCTGGTGTCGGCCGCTCTCCAAGAGGAGTCGCCCGACTTAAATCCTATCGAGCATGCCTGGGACATGTTACAATGAAAAGAACAATAACTTTACGAATACTTGCAAAGAACATGGGACCTCATTCCGCAGCAAGACTTTGACAATTTAGTTTTAAGTATGAACAATCAATGTCGATGTGTAATTAATGTAAGAGGTGGAAACACTGATTATTAAGTTTTTTTCAATTTTAATTAAAATTAATAGTTTTATAAGAAGAAATGAAGTTTTTTATCATACTAATTTTCTACGGCGGTTTATAAATTAACATTTTTTTTAAACAAAAAAAAATTACCATTTATTTTTTATAAAAGACTAAAATAACCTATCATTGTTCCATTTACTATATCATCAGATAATTCTTCATAGATTTTTAGATATTTGATGAAATATATGAAAATATTCCTAGATTCTGTTGATGTGTGTATGGATGTAATGGAGGCGAGAAAGTTGTGCAGGATCTTGGCAAATACAAGTCCGTAGTCTCTGCCTACCCCTCTGGGTGACGGGCGTGTGTGTTTATGTAAGTATGTGTATATAAATTTGTAATATTTTTCATAATGCCATTGTGGTAATTATCTGTCCCTTAGGGTACTTCTTACATTTTTATGTAGATATTGTAAAAAAATTATGAAGCACGCAAGCAAGAAGCACTATTAGATAATACATGTGGATGTACTTGGATTACTCTTTAAACAAGTGTTGTTTTATAGAAGTTCATGAACCAACTTTATTAAAGTGTACTTATTGAGTGCTTTACTGGTGAATAAGTTACCATACAACTTTTACTGGTGAATAAGTTACCATACAACCCAGTTAAGTGATATAGCCATGCTGCATATGTGGTAGAGCCATGCTGCAGTTATATTAGGAGTATAGTTATAGCACGAATGGGTCGGCTCGACCGGGGAAGGACCACGCTCTCACAGAATACCAGCGTGAAATAGTAGCTTAATGCTACTGTATTTGGTATGGTGAGTGTAGAGAACTGGAGACCCTTTTTACTGGAAACGAGGCATTCCATCTTGGTCCTCACGGGTGACAACGCATCTGCATTTTGATTTGTAATCGAGGATAGATGTAGATGTCTATGGGCCACAGCAACCACTTACCATCAGGTGGACTGTGCGCTCGTTTGTCACTCTATCCTATGAAAAAAAAAAACAAAAAAAAAAGTGAGCAGTAATACATATTTTGTTATTAGGAAAAGAATGTATAACCATATTGTGGAATGAAGGGAGGTAGTGAAATTTTACAAGGTCCATTTAAAAATACTTGACCCAAATCTATTGAAACCAAATCCTTTATGTTAGTGATAGGGGCAGCATTAACAGTATAAGAGCCTGAACTCACAAACTCACCTGCTTTTGATTTTAGAGAAATTCATGACTGTTAGTGTATTCCTTTAAAGGCTATCTAGCAGTGCTATATCTAGCAGTGGGCTTTAACTGATAACATACCTCATATATTCATTTTTTCAACAGAAACATCATCGGAGCCAGTGGCTAAAGTAGCTAAGACAGACTACCACGAAGTCACGCGTACTGGACAAGAATATGAAGTTGTATGCGATGGTGACATATGCGTGAGGAAACCGAAGGCAAAACCCGAAGAGCCCGGACCGAGTTCTAAAGTGACTCCTACAGCCGAATCAGTAAGTTTTATTAAAGAACTTTGTTTTATTATATTATTATTATATACAAGGGACATTTACGCGACTTGTGAGACTTATTTATGGACTTAAATGTCTATATAATATGTGTTGTTTATATGAAAAATAAACAATATTTTATCTTTTATGACTTTCAGAAGGACACTCCTGCATCGTCACAGGCTAGTGCGGTTAGTCCGGATGAGAAGGTAGAACGAGCCAAAGAACTTATTGATGCGTTAAGAAGAGAAAAGACTGAGAAGGAGAAAGAGGTGTGAACACGTATTTTTTTAACTTTAGAGACTTATTGTTGTTGTTGTTAAAATGTAAAATGTGTAATAATATTGGTAACACAAGATGAATCGAACAGAAAAATTACATAGCGTGAAGTGTAGTGTAGTGTAGATGATATTGTAGGTGATAGTGTAGATGATATTAAGATATGCAAGAAGATGAAGAATAAACCTCGATAATACAACATACTGAGGAATTAATTAAAACATACAGATATACGAGGGGTGATCCAAAAGTAATGATAATTGGTTACTTCAGGTCCGCATAAAAATCCAAAAAAAAAATTTTTTTGCTTGCTTGTATACTCACTACGTCAGCCTAAAAAAATCATATAAATAGATTACGATTTCCGGGAGATACATTCATTTGAATATGAACTGTTAAAGAGATAACATCAACATGGAGAAAAACGAAATTAGAGCTGTCATCAAATACCTCTGTTTGAAAAAAATGTCTTCAAAAGACTGTTAGTGGAAACATTGGGGGACTCTGCTCCTCCATATTCTACAGTTGCACGCTGGGCCAAAGAGTTTAAACTGGGCAGAACATCCACTGAAGATGAACATCGCGAAGGACGCCCATCCACGTCCCTCACTGAAGACAACGTGAAAAAAGTCGAAGATGTTGTGTTGGCAGATCGAAGAGTGACCATCAGGCATTTAGCTGAGGTCACAGGGATCTCATATGGCAGCGTTCAAAGAATCCTTGTGAACGAGTTGCATATGAAAAAGGTCTCTGCGCGTTGGGTACCCAGAATGTTAACCGACGAGCAAAAGAAAAATCGAGTTGACATTTCGAGGGTCAATCTCGAAAAGTTCCAAGCAGATTAAGAAATTTTTTTGTTCCGTTTTGTGACTATGGACGAGATCTGGATCCACCATTTTGATCCTGAAACGAAACAACAATCGATGACTTGGAAGCGAGCCTCCTCACCGACGCCAAAGAAATTCAAAGTTTCAAGTTCGGCGGGAAAGGTTATGGCATCTGTTTTCTGGGACGCTCAAGGCATAATTATGGTGCAATATTTGGAAAAGGGAGCCTCTATTACGGGCTCTTACTATGCAGACCAAATAAGAGGATTACGGGAGGCCATTAAGGAAAAAAGACGTGGCAAACTGCGAGCTGGAGTGCTGTTTCACCAAGACAACGCACCGGCTCACAAAGCCGCAGTTGCGATGGCTGCCATTCAAGAAACGGGATTCAAACTGCTCGAACACCCTCTCTATTCGCCAGATCTAGCTCTTAGTGACTTCTACCTCTTTCCTCGGTTCAAGGAATGCCTCTGAGGCAAGAAATTCGAAGACGATAGCGAAGTAATGGCCGCTGTTGAAGCGTTTTGGGAGGGTCAAGACAAAGAATTTTTTTCAAAGGGAATCCTGGGTTTAGAAAAAAGATGGACTAAGTGTATTCATTTGTTAGGAGACTATGTAGAAAAATAAATTATTATTTTAACTTTCATTACCGTGTTTTATTTTTATTATCATTACTTTTGGATTACCCCTCGTAAAATCGAAATAATAACTTTAAACAAAGCCAAACATAGCGAATCGCGTATTAATTAACTAGAAGCTCTAAGTGTAGTGTCTAATTTACGCGCATTGAAGCATTGGTTAATCGCCAGCGGTAATCAGATTGGAGCGGATAGATTTTTACGCCACACTAAAAAAGTTCTCACACCCAGTTGCTATGTTCGAAAATATATCGTATTCATTTAAAATCAATTTTACTGGACTGAGCAAGAAGCAGGGTTATGTTTTTCGGGTGAATGTATGAATACAAAATAAATTCCTAATTTCACAAGATATGCGTAAACAACAGCTTTTAATGTGGTAGAGCCATGCTGCAGCTTTATTAGTAGTATAGTTGTATTACGAATGGGTCGGCTCGACCGGGCAAGGACCACGCTCTCACAGAATACCAGCGCAAAATAGCAGCTGAATGCTGCTGTGTTTCGTATGGTGAGTGTAAAGAATCGGAGACTCATTTTACTGGATATGAGACATTCCAGTATCCATTAGAGAAGCTTTAAATTGTTACATTGATTTTTTGTACTTCTTATTTTATGATTATCATAGGTTATATATTTAGGTTACATGTTATGAAATTCGTAAACAAATATAAATGGTGCTTGCATTTAGTAATTTCCATAGTTATAGTATATATGTTGTCATGTCATATGTTGTAATAAATTTTGCTATGTGAAAACGCGACCAACTTAGAAATTATTTTTATTAGTTGAGGGCCATAAGAGAAATTATAGTGTAAAATCTAAAGTAAGACTAGAGAGGAAAAAACGAAGTAATATTTGTAAATATTATCCTTTGCCTCCCGGTATATTAAAGAAAATTTAATGTATGCACACAAAAAATAAACTAGTTTTTAATAAAAAGTTCATTCTAAAACATTAGCAACTAGTATCAATTAATTGACTCTGTGGCGGCGCTGTCGTCGCGCCGCAAGCGAAACACACCGAAGCCAAAATCACGCTATCAAAATTTCGAATCGTAAACAGTATATATAGAACATCTCCGAACTATCACACGGAGCGTTGGCCGCTCCCCGGGCAGAACACCTTGACCGGCGGGAGATCTCCCCTTTTCCTACCACGGCCACAACTCCATATAGTCATCACGTCTGTGTTTTTGTCCTTAATGGAGCAGAAATGTAGATGTCAATGGGCTACAGCATCCACTTATCACCAGGTGGGTGGCATGCTCGTTTATCACCCTTATAATATAAACAAAATGGAAGTGCCTTTCTGTAATATTGAAATGACTGCTTTATATAATAGCTAAGAGGGTTATTTGCATGGCATTTTTATGTGCGAGCGGCTATGCAGGTCTAGGGAAAGAGACCAGTATCACTGCGACCTATAAGATCTATTGTGTCTTTAGTTCATTGCTAAGTCCTATGTCTTCAATTAATAGAAGGAATTGCTTAGCCGTAAGCAATTACACATCTTCTGGGCGGAGTACATAGTTTCCTAGATGAGTGTTACGTTTGCGCATTAAGGGTCCGCAATCAGGATGTGTAGAGGCGTTTCTTCCGTTATGGAACAGAACCGACACAACTTTGAGTTGCTCAGTCCCAGGATGGACATGTGCTTTTTAAAACAACAGTGTCAAGTCAGGGTTCTTGCCAGAATTCACAGTTTATTTTTACCTGTGGCCGTGGAAGGAAAAGGGGAGATCTCCCGCCAGGTAAAGGTGTTCTGCCGGATGTTCTATATATACTGTTTATGATTCGGTATGTTGATAGCGCGGTTTAGGCTTCGGTATGTTTTTTCGCTTGTGGCGCGACGACAGCGCCGCTACATCACCCCCCTGCTCAGACCGGAGGTCGATAGTGCAGCCTCGTTGCCGACGAATGTGCAAGTGCCAGGAGATTGCCTTGTAGTCTGCGGTGAGTCGAGAAGAAGGGATCTGCGAGAGTGCCGTGAAGCAGGGGCGAGCAGTAAGGCTCAGAGCCGTGCCGAACACTGTATAGCGCAGAGAGTAGCTTGAGGGAACAGGAAGCATTATTATTCCAGTGCTGCGATGAACCTTGTGAAGCTACATGGCTTGCAGGTTCTGAAGACTGCAGACGATATCTGCTCGGGAGCGAATGGGTGGGGTATTCTATGACGTTGATGAAGCTTAATACCAAGGCTTCTGAAGCGAATTTACGATCAAAAGCCCGGATGGAGGTTTTAAAATGTTTTAAGCTTGTGTATCAGACTAGATCTTAAGTGATTTATTGTGATATAGAGTTTCAAGGGTCAATCGGTCTAGGCTGTTTGAGATTCCTCAAAGTGGCTCGTGTCCAAATTTTGTACTCTGAGCCCTCCCGTTGATTGTCACAGTGTCCAGTTAGGGCTCTTGCCAGAATGCGCAGTTTGCATGGCATGAATGACCATTTGTAAAATGTTTGTCTGTTTGTCCCGGCCTATAGTTGGACCGTATGTAATAAAATTTTGTAAACAAGTGAGAGGAATGTCTTGGCATTGATTGGCACTGATCTAGTCTGTGTTTTATCGGAAAATCTTTATTTTAACAAATTTTATTTGTACGATTTTTTCAAATAATATATTACTGGTTCGTAACTTCTGCTTTTTGTTAAAGTTGGAAAAGCAAAAGGAATTGGAACGTCGTGCTATTGGTCAAGGCGTGGCAGAATTAAAAAGATGGCAGGCCGACCAGGAGTTGAAACAAATTCAGGTATTTTAAAACTCTTTTATTTTATTGATCTCTTACACTGATGTAAATGATGTAATCAAAAATTACAATGTTGTATGTCATGCATCTCAAACCTCTTTTTCTATTTAGGAGGAACGGAAACGTGAGAAAATGGAAAACAATCTCGCTCGGCAACGTATCCTGGAGCAAATAGCGCAGGACCGCGCAGAGCGTCGTGCCCGCGACCAGCCGCCAGCGGCGCCGGCCCCTCCAGCGTCACAGCCCGCGCCCCCACCACCACCACCTAGTGAGCTATAATAGTATATAATAGCTAGAGCTATAATAATATGCCATAATAATATGTCATGTGTGCGTATGACGTGTACACCAAAACCGATTTTGTCGGCCGATGGCGGATAGAACTACCCGGACGAGTAATTCGGACGTGTATGTGCTTACACTGCAACAGTGTACCACTTGAGCCGACATTGAACGTTGCCGGTATTCTTTTCTACTTTTATATTTTCAATATCCATAGTCGTTTAGGTAGATAACAACACTGTCCGAAACAACAGAATAAAGACAAAATGATTAAATTAAACTATAAATACACTCAATTTGCACTGTAGACGCCGGCAGTCGGGCGAGAAATCCCAACAAGTTCGGACTCGACGGTTGATTGGGTGTTTTCGTGCGTCATCGGACGATGGCGGTCGTGTTGGTGTACGCGCTCTTTTTGTTTTACAAGTGTTTGATTCGATCGTGAGTTCCACCGTTGTCGCCCAAACAAACTTCGGCCAATGACAACAGATTTAGTGTATGCGAAGTGTAAGACTGATTTGTGTTGAAATTGTGTGTGTGATAAAGGAGATTCGAGAATGGTTTAGATTCACAATCGGACCCGGTAGGTGGTTTTTGTCGAGATCCAGAGATCACCCGTCCGAATCCGGGTCCGATCGCTAGTATATTTATACAGCCCAGCCAAATGAGAAAACAATGTATACCCCATAATAATAATCACTCGATCTACCAGATCGATTTACCGTGTAGGCAGTGTTAGAATTTCAACTACCCCATATCATCCCGTGGGTGTCGTAACAGGCGACAAAGAGAAACAAATAGGGAAATGAACAGCAGCGTCTTCCTTATAACAACTAAAAACAAAAAAACTGCGGTCCAACCCACTTGCCGAGCGTGGCAACTATGCCAAATAAAAGGAAAAAGGGATCCCCCCTCCCCCCTGCGAGACAATCTATAGGCGAGGCCTTTGTTTAACAGTAGACTTTGATAGGCTATAGCAGTAACACTAACGAATTTACCAATACAAATATTTATTAATTTAAACAAAAAAATATAAACACCTATAGTCAAGTTTTTATATAAATATATAAAAACTACTTGGCTTAGGTCAGTGAGCATTTTTATTCTAGTAGTAATACCGAGGGTACAAAAATAATCTTTAGAATAATAATTATAATATATATATTAAATATATATGTTTATACATAAATTAGTGTTAGTATTAAAAAAAACCATTAAACAACACGCCCCAACAAATTAATAAGTAACGCCCCGCCTACACTATAGTTGTTACTTATAGCATCAGTTACAAATATGACAGTATGTAAATGTAGCTTTTTTATTATATATAAAGTAGTTAGTATAAATAAACGAACATACAGTCCAGTCCACCTTAAATAAAGTGTAAAATAAATGAGTACTGTTGCCCATATTCACTTAAATATATCATCAATGAAGAACTAAAATGCAGATGCATTGTTACACCTCAGGACTAAGATGGAATGCCTTACTTCCAGTAATAAGGGGTCTATAAGTGTAAAAAACAGAATAAAAATAGATAAAATATAAATATACATAGACATCACCACGCTTAGTAGAGAGTCTGGCGATCGCAGTGGTACACTGCCATTGATCAAAAGCCATGCATTTTGCTTTACTCGTGACTCATAACTTAAATTAACCTTTAGTTAAGTAATAACGTGTTTATTTTTACGTAAACACTAACTGATCTTGTCTTGCGACGCCCATGCCTTTTTGTTTCAACGAATCCAAAGACAAATACAAGTAGTAAAATTAAAAAATTTGTACAACCGATTTCAATATAAATAAAATGAAAAAAGTCACCAATGTATTCGAAGTCATTTAATACGCATTATTAGGGATAACTTAAAAACTAGTCAGTAGGCCAGATCTTGATTTTACGATTTTTAGGTAATCATTGTCTTTTGTATATATTAATTTTGAACAACTTTATAGCAGTTGGAGATGGTGGGTCGCGCGCCCGCGTTCAATTCAAAATGGCTGACGGTAGCGCGCATACAGCGCATTTTGATGTCGACGCAACTTTGCAAGAGTTGCGGCGCTATGTTGCGGATAATTTACAAGTAAGGAAAAAATTACATTTAACGTGTGTCGAAGCAAAGTGGTTCCATTAATCTTAATATTTTAAATTTAACGTTTATATTGGCGTACCGATTTGAAGGATTCGCATAGAACTCGACGAGGTACCCCGAAAAGGAAGAATAAAATTTTTCGATATTTCGTTTATTTTCCGAGATATCGATGCTTATATGCTTATAAATTCTAATCGTGGCACCGTACGAACCGTAAAAGCCCCTTTATATTCAGTATTGTAATTTTGTCCGAATGACTACACACTTAATTAAAAGTAACCACTGATTCGAAAAACCTTTGTCGTAGTAAGAACCAGCAAGAAAGCCAGCAGGACGTTTTTCCAAAGCAACATAATACAATTAAAAGCATTGTTTGCACATATTATAATAATAAATAGTGATAATTTTATTTGTAAATAATTTATCATTTATTTTAGACATCCCTAGATCATCTAGACCGGAATAAGAGCATATGTCCAATTTCTCCTAAAATCCTGATAAAAGTTACCCGGTCCGGGTATTTGTATAAAGTTTGGCGTAATGGCATATACAAGATGCATCTCCATGTAATGCAAATTTTCATAGATGAATTCCGACACCCACAGAACAAGATAAAGAACACTTAGGCCTCCAGCTACCGTTAGAAACTTATTGACTCTCTAGCAAATGTTTCACTTCTTATTTAGATGGAATATATAGCCCGAAGAAACCGATAACCGCTAGGCGAAGTGTCTTCCACTAAAGTTTTGTTAGGCGAGAGTTCATAAAAAAACAGGATTTCTATACTCATTATAAATTACGGCTCGCTAATTAATTTTGTTAAGCGACACCCGTCACACAGATTGCGATACTTAAGCAACAGTCGCTATTGCGAGAAGTTTTCATAATTATTTATTTATTTCTCGCCGCACAATCTTTAGATGGAGTCATGACCTGGTGAGAGATGCAGGAAGTCGATGGAAGCAGGTGGGGTGGCTCAGGAATTGGGAAAGGGCTATATTCAGCAGTGGACTTGTATTAAGGAGCTGTAATGATAATGATGATGATGATTACAAAATAAGCATAAGATCTTCAAAGACTAGAAATTTATCAAATACTAGAATTAAATATTTGTAAAGATTATTCAGAATTAGTAACTAATCATAATTGAAAATGCACCATTTTTTTTTTCATTTTAATTTCTCTTGGAGGTGGCTCCTTTAAATTAATGTCAAAAAAAGAAACACAACTCATTAGAATACATATACATAAACACTCACGCCTGTCACCCAGAGGGGTAGGCAGAAACTACAGACTTCCATTTGGCACGATCCTGACACACTTCTCTCGCCTCCTTCACATCCATACACCTACGCATACGTGCTCGTCGGTTAAGGGTACTCCTAATTTGGCCCGTTTTCAATAAATCGCCAATTTGGTCGATAAATTTTCGCCTACGACGTCCCTTTCCGACTCTGCTATTTACTTCTGCAACATAAATTTTCTTTGTCATTCTTTCCTCATTCATTCTTTCTACATGACCAAACCACCGAAGCATTCCTTTCTTAATCCTGGTCACAACATCATTTTGCAAACCACACTCTTCTCTTGTCACACAATTATAATAGAATATTATAATAGAATCTATCTTTTTATTGATAGTTACGGCTAGGCGAGTTTTCGCTGTGGACAGCGTTTCCTCGTCAGGAACTGACGGAGAGCGAGTCGACGCTGCGACAGTTGCGACTGGCGCCATCTGCCGCGCTGCTCGTGCTCCCTCGACGCACGCCCACTGTAGTAGCTTCACCTTCCACATTCTCTACGATCTTTAGTAAGTAATGTATTTGACTTTAAGATACAATAAATATAGGACTTTTTTATAGGATAGGATGACAAACGAGCACACAGTCCACCTGATGGTAAGTGATTGCTGTAGCCCATAGACATCTACATCTATCCTCGATTACGAATTAACATGCAGATGCGTTGTCATCCGTGAGGACTTAGGTGTAATGCTTTGTTTGCAGTAAAGAGGGTCTCCGGTTCTCTACACTCACCGTACGAAACACAGCACCATTAAGCTACTATTTTACGCTGGTATTCTGTGAGAGCGTGGTCCTTCCCCGGTCGAACCGACCCATTCGTGCTACAACTATACTACTAATATAACTGCAGCATGGCTCTACCACGTATAAAATTTACAATAATTTTCTTAAGGGGTTGCTTTTAATACTGTGGCTGGGCCGATTTTGTAAGTGCGGAGTCGTTCTGTCCATTCGTTACAGCCTATAAAAGTTTACTGTTGAACGTAAGTCTTCTTGATTGAGATTGAGAGATTGCCTCAAAGGGGTGTTTTACCATAGTTATAACGATTGGCAAGCTGGTTGGAAACTGAATTTTTTTGTAATGTTGAGTTTTTTTCATAGAATAAGGATGCCAAACGAGCACACAGTTCACCTGATGGTAAGTGGATGCTGTGGCCTATAGACATCTACATTTATCCTCGATTAAGAATCAAAACGCAGATGCGTTGTCACCCCGGAGGACTAAGATGAAATGCCTCGTTTCCAGTAAAAAAGGATCTCTGGATCTCTACACTCACCATACGAAACACAGCAGTATGTGAGAGCGTAGTCCTTCCCCGGTCGAGCCGACCCATTCGTGCTACAACCATAATATAGCTTGGGTATGGCTCTGCCACATATAAAACGGGCTATCGGGAAAATATTGGTGCCACCATCCCATCTGCTCCATCTCCTGTTTCAGCTTTCCCTTCTTGTCTCTTACGACAGCCACGATAAGGGGAGGTGAATATTCTTATACCGTTACCATACTTTAAGTAGTTCCTCTCGCACGAATGATGCTGTTACCTGTTACCTATTTTTGGAATGTAGGTTTGGCATTACATTGTTTTTTTACCGCAGTTTTAAGCTATTGCATAGTTCTATCGCGGGCCTTGAGCGCGGGGACCGAATCCAGAAATTCCGTAACGAAAAAACCTCACGCTCCCCACTCCGACGGGCACGGAGTAGTGGCGTTGAAAGCCGTGCATCGTCTAACGTCGTTTTAGTTCGGCAGACTTCGGCACGGTGTTTGTGTGCGTGCTGCGTGCGACTAGACGTATGCGTGTACACTAGCTGCTAACTCAATGATAAAAATTCCTGAATAACCTACATGTATTGTAAGATATTAAAAATATTTTAAACAATATTAACTTCTCATTTATTCAATAAGAGAAAAAAAATTGTTTTCTTATCGGTCACCACGCTCAAAAAGTGTAACTTGATCTGCATAAATAAAACAAATAAATAATTATAATTGCATAAGTTGATAAAAAATGCTATGCAATAGCTTTACCGCGGCAGTCACCGAGTGCCACATGTATTTTTTTATCGTTTTGAGTTGTTTTGCAATTAGTCTGTCATCTCTTACAATATCCGTGGGACGATGTGGGGTAGTGGATCTTGCAGCGCCACTACACGGTGTTTTTTTAACTAGACTTAGTTAAAGGCGCTAATTTAAGTAATATTGTATAACATTATCACCGCAAAATTATATGGCAGATGATGGCCGGGGAGGGTAGGAAAAGTTAGATTCGGTGGGGGAGGGGAGGAGTAAATGGATCGTTCTTGGAGGGGTGTTTTGTTTTCCGGTAGTTGGTGGCTGGTGGTGTATAAGTATCTGTTATCTCATCCCGTGCATGTCGTAATCAACTGTGGAAAATGAAAGCTAAGAGTATGTTTAAGAAGAGGGCGTTTGGTAGAGCGTAAATAACGTACAGCGTTATGTCACAAAAACGCTTGCTGTGTCCCCTTAGTGGCGGCGAACGCTCGCCGCTTACGCCTTAGTATTTTAGAAAGATTTGATAACTTCGTACGGATCGTAGTTTTGATGATTTCATATCATCATCGTCATAACAGCCCATTACAAATCCACTGCCTAACATAGGCCCCTAAAGAATGTCACAAAGCATGGCTCTGAGACATCTGCTTACATCAACTTGCTGCGTGTCTTCCAGGTCGTCACTCCTTCTAGAATCTAGTGGGACGCCTCCCTATTTTTCACTTACCGGTACGAACTTGCCACTCGGGAACCTTCCATATTAAAGTTAATGATAAATAATAAAACCAGTTACGAGATGAGAAGCTAAAGTACGAGGTGTCTGTTATAGATGACGATCCATCTGCCAAGGATGGTTTATTACGGCAAATTATCCCTATGATAGAGGGTCAGTTTTACAATCAACTTAGGAGATAATGTGCCATGTTGCGTATTTCTATTGCCTTCAAGTAATACTTCCATGTTTTATTTGCATTCACAGAATGGAGTAAAATATGGCAGCCTCTGAATTTCTTTTCCTTCTTTCTGGTCAAGCGCTGCATATAATAGTTATAAAAATGCTATGCTTTGCTCCCCGTGACTAGTTTAGGAAATTATATACATCATTGTATATATGCCGCAGCCAATAGACCTAATTAGCCTTTCAGTTAACAGCCTAGCCTTTTTACTATTAACTAGTGACCTGAATGATAATCAGCCCATGCGTTTCAGTCGATGTGTCTAATATAAAAATTCATGCCTAATTATGTATTATGTGCTATTATGTATAATAAAACGCAGCCTTAGTGTGGACCAAGGACCATCTCAGCCGCACCTTAACCTACTGTCGCTGATAGATGGTTGCAATGTTGTATTAGATGCATCAATTGAATATTATTCAGGGCGCTAGTTGAACGTTGCCATTTACAAGGCTAGGCTGTTAAATGAAAGGCTAAATTAAGCTAGTTGGCTGCGACATAGATATATTTGGTGTTGTAATGGTTTGTGTGCCGTGTAGTGACAGCGTAAAATAATTCTACAATCCATTTGTTCTCTTCATTGTTGTAAGAAACGACGGAAAATGCCAGGAAAATCTCATGGCAACGATAGATGACGATATTGTAACCTAGTGTAGGTCAAATTTGAAATTCCCAATAATAAAAGATGTCCTTACACCTTTGAGTCTAGTAACTGTGATTGTTAAAACGCCTGCCGAGCGTGGCAATTGTAGCAAATCCTTTATAAAACAAGAAGAAAGATGTATTAAAAGTTTTAAATATTTATTACTTAAGGTCCGCGTAATAAAATAAAATGATGTCTTACCTAGTTTGAAATCACTTTCTTCAAACAAGGTAAGCTAATTCACATCATTATATATTATTACGCTAAATAGTTTTTAACATCTTCAGTGTACTGTATATCCGCAAAGTAACGCCTAATTCTATTAGTTAAGATATTGTATTTTAAGAAAATTTTTTCTGCAGCATTCTTGACGCAACTGTTCACGTCGCTGATCCTTGAACCGTCGCAGCAAGTGTACGCGTGGCTGCGCGCGCGCCTGTTCCCGGGTTCGCCCCCCTCCCCCTCACCTGCATCCCCCTCTCCATCTCCTTCCCCCCCGCCGGCGCCCCAGCAGCCCGGGTTCCGCCGCCGGGGAAACATACATCGTCTCGCCGGCGACACGAACAGCGACGACGAAAACAACACGTGGAACGGTAATTCAACCCAGCAGATGTAGGAACTGTTGAGAATTCAAAAATTAATATTTATTTTCTCCTATGATGTTTTGGGACCTGAAGCTCTTTTAACGATTTTCAATTTACACTTCCCTATCCCAACCAACATCGAAACTATACGAAAAATTGTTACTTTTGTAGTTTAAATAAATTGTATTTCATCAATTAATTATTATTATTATTGTTATTACTTAAATGCTCGTTTATCATAAAGGTGTCATCACATTTTGTAACTCGCTCTGGTCATATCGGTTTGCTCATTTCACACATTTGCTTTACATTATTTTACTAATAACCCGAAAATGCTTAAACTGTTCTGATACTTTCCCTGTACCATGAATCAGATATGAACATTTCGACTGTTTAACTATTATGTCTATTTCGCGGACAGGAAAACTGTTAAGGAAAGAGAGAAACAGAGGATGTGGCCAGTAGACTATGAATGAATCAGTATCTTTACTTCTCCTGCGTAAATTTAAAAAAAAAAGTAAAATATAAGCAGATTACTTGCACTTAGCTTTAAGAAGACGGTTTGTTGTTTCTATAATTACCTTTATGTCTTAGATAAATTATTCTCCGTTCAATTATTGTATAATTTGTAATTTTATTCTTCATAAATTATTTATTTTATCGGCAACAAAAGTGCTGTTCTTGTTCTTCACAATTATTTTACAAAAATAAAACTACACTGCTCTTTTTCAGCTTCGAAAGTACTTTTTGTTTTAAAATATATTTACAATTAGCGCGACTTTATACTTGTATAGAATTTTATCGTTGAAAAATTAAAATGTATAAAATATTTAATCATCGCCTGTAAATCTCTATATTCCATCTGAATCACTATTCGCAAAATTTATCATTAATAACAAGATAAAAACTAAAAAAGTTATAATTGTAAGATAAAAGGAAAGAAGGGAATCTTAATCTTCTAATTTTATTGTTTTATTATTTTTTATTTATCTTTACGATCTAAAAACTTTACCATACTTCTTAATAAATGTTATCATACCTATAACTTGTTTATTTGTTCTCTGGCCTGTTCAAACTTACTCTATCGATAAAAATATTCCACGAAGCGCCTCCTGTTTCAAACTATTTACAATTTCACGTTTGTGACTTATTCGTGGATAATTGTCAATAAAACATTATATATGTATAATTTTCTTGTTTTATTTAACCCATGCCATAACACACACTGTTTTCGGCAATATATTTCATCTATTTGTTAGACAAAATCACAGTAGCTATTACAAAAAAAAGTTGAAAGAGAGCGAGGCATTCTATCTTAAGGGGAAATATAACCTCTAACGGCTTAGCAAGATCCTCCGTTGTACCGAAAATATTGCAGCATTAATTTTGAAATAAATATATGGTAAAGTTGAGGATTAATGTTAAGTACTATGTTAAACGAAAACATGATTCCGTAAAATTTTCTCGATAGAAATAAATCCAATGTTACCTCCAAACTGAACAATAAACCAATGTTATTCATAAAATACTTTAAATAAGATCATGAAACTTTGCATACTAACTGAACTAACTATAAAGCAGGGCTTATTATGTCTTTAATTTTTTAAATTACCACTGTTTGTACTGTAAAAATAAATTACCTAAACTATCGGCGTCCTGAAGCTTGGAAACGGGCGGCAGGAAAAAAGCTTCAGGACGCCGATAGTTTAGGTAATTTCTTTTTACAGTGAAAATAATGCTAATTTAAAAAAAATATAAGCCCTGCTTTATAGTTAATTCAGTTAGTATGCAAAGTTTCATGATTTCATTTAAAGTATTTTATGAATAACAGCGGTTTATTGTTCAGTTTGGAGGTTTTCTATCCAGAAAATTTTACGGAATCATGTTTTCGTTTAACATGGTACTTAACATTAATCCTCAACTTTACCATATATTTATTTCAAAATTAATGCTGCAATATTTTCGGCATAACGAAGGATCTTGCTAAGGAGGTTATATTTCCCCTTAAGTCTCGGGTGTGACAATTGAAAATAGATGTAGGTGGCTATGGTTTATCACATGCGCTAACTTTGCACTTACTCTCCATTTTCCATTTGGTAAATAAGTTTGGGTTTTGTTTAAAGTCTAAGTCTAGTCGAAATTTATTTAATGTGATATTTTTTGACGTGGAAGAGCCACGTTGCGGCTATATTATGAATGAAGCAGAAAGGGGTCCGCTCGACGCAGGAAGTAACACGCTCTTACAGAATACAATCTCTTTACTATACATAATTACTCTATACTGTTTTTCTGTACTAAATAAAATGGATCCAGACTTGAGTATTCTAAAATAATCCTCAATAATGTATTGCCGTGTCGTGGCGGTTAAAAATATCTAGTACACCATATTATCCCGTGGGTGTCGTCAAAGGCGACAGGAAACAGGCAGGAGATGGGCAGCAGCGTCTTCCTGATAACAGCCATTAAAAGCGTGCTAACTATGGCAATACACCCCCAATGAGCAAAGACACAAATAAACGGCCCCTACTCCCCGGCGGCCCCGCTAGTCCTGGCTACGGTGGCGACCATAGTAACGGCGGTGCAGGGGGTGCTAAGAATCTCCGGCGGAGGTTCGGTTTCCACCTAAGACGACTCGACCTGGCAACGTACAACGCACGCACCCTGAGGACTGACGAGAATATCTTGGAGATGGAAGAAGAGATAGGTTGCGCTGACATATTATCACACAAAAACTCTCCGATCACACTTAATCTCATGGCTGTTAGACGGGAAATGAAACTGTAATCTTAAACAGATTTGACAGCATACAGGCAACTGAACAGACAGATCTCCAAACGCATGCGGCGGGACTTGCGCAACTTTAATACTGCTCGTATTGAAGAATCGATCGAGCGGAACCAGGGTCCCAAAGTCTTTGCTAGAGATCTGTCTGCCAGAAAGAACTAACTATCAAAGCTGAACACCGAGTGCGGCAACATCGTTTCCGGGACAACTGAGATTTTGAATGTGATTCAGAGGTTCTATGGGCATGAGTACACATCGTCGTAGGAGCCAGACGCAAGTGTTAGTTACGATCCAAGAGCAAGACTTATCCGACACTATTCCGGTGGTATTCTGGACGTCAGTTGGAGCAAGATTGGAATGGCTCTCCAGCACGTTAAAAACGACAAGGACCCAGCCGAGGATGGAATTACAGCGGAGCTTCTGAAAGCGGGTGGAAAACCGATACTTAAAGTCATCCAGAAGCTCTTCAATTCCGTCCTCCATGGTGTTACTACTCCGGAGGCGTAGAGCAGAGGTGCGGGGTGGACTTGTTCTTCAAGCAAAGTGACAACGCTCTCTTGAAGAACTACAGACCGGTTTCCCTTCTGAGCCGCGTCTACGTGCTGTTTTTGAGAGTCTTTACAAATCGTCTCGCACGCATACTTGTCGACTTATAGCCTCACGAACAAGCCGGTTTCCGAAAAGGCTTCAATACTATCGGCCATTTTTTTTATATTATATATATACCCTGTGGCCGATAGTACAGAAGACCGAAGAGTACAATCTGCCACTTTGCCTTGCGTTTGTAGACTATGAAAAAGCCTTTGATTTCGTCGAAATTTGGCGGTGCTACAGTCCCTTCAGCGGTGCCAAGTTGATTGTCGGTATATCGAAGTGCTAAAGTGTTTGTACAGTAGGGCTACGATGGTTATCCGAGTACTGAGCCAGTGTACGAAACCTATCCAACTGCAGAATCGTGTAAGACATGATGACGTTATATCTCCGTAACTCTTCATCCTGCATTGAATTTTGTTTCAGTTTGAAAGTTTTCAAGCTACTGAACTGGAAAAGATACGGTATTAACGTCAATGGTGAGTACATCGCTCACCTTCGATTTGCCGACGATATAGTCCTTATGGCAGGATCGCTGGAGGACTTAAGCACTATGCTCAATGACCTCAATAGTGTCTCCCAACGGATATGCATGCTTATTGAATAGCAGTTTTTCATCCAGTATGACACCCAGCAATTTGATATCAGGTGAAAATTTTAAAGCGTGTTCATCCATAGTGATTTTTGCAGCCTCCAGCTGTAAATGCGATAATTTGTGTTTTGGAGGGACCGAATACCAATTTAACACTTGTCCCCCAGTCAGTAATACGCGGGAGCGCAGCGTTGGCTGCTCTCTCTAGCCGGTGAACATCTTTGGCCCGAAACGACTAAAAACACATCATCTGCATATGCCTGAATATGGCAACCTTCTGGAACTTCTGGAACCAGAAGTCTGCATCAAGCAGTTTATCAAGGATGATGTACCACAATATTGGGCCGCAAGCAGAGCCCTGGATACATCCCTTGGTCATCATCTTGACGACTCTGACCCCGGCGTGATAAATGTCACCATGCGGTTCCCTACGTAACTACGAATGAGGCCGTAGATGTTGCGTGGACAGTTAATTATTCTCAGCTTGTGGAATAGTACCGGCCATCAGGCGTTATCAAAAGCCGCTTTGATGTCCAAGGCAAATGCGATTACCAGTTTTCCATTGCCTTGAGCCCGACGGATCGCGTCAAGCGCAGTGTCGATAGCCATGGTCGTATTGGTTTGCTCGCGGAAGCCAAACTGTCATGGACAGCTGTGATTGTTGTTAGCAGCCCAGTAAGTGACGCGCTTGATGAAAAGTCTTTCCATCAGCTGCCAGCTGTAACAGAAACAGAAACAGAAACTTTTTTATTCAATGTAGATTATAATAATACTTATTGATAGTCACTTTTTTTCATTTACCACTGGTTCGCAAAAAAAAAACCTCTGTCCTGGGAAGAACCAGCAAGAAACCCAGCGGGACTATTTTTTTCCAATAATAGCTTACAATATGTTTACATTAGCAACACAAGACAAATTAGAAATAGCTTGGTAGCGATCACCCTTCCCAGGGGTTATTATCATCCATAAATCGTATGATATGTTGTTCTCCTAAGTCCTCTATGCCTAGACCGCGTCTCTTAGCCGAGATAATCAAATTATATGTAAAGATGGATGTTTAATTAT